ATCAAAATGATCAGGAAATGTGGGCTTGGAGTAGAGATTCTCCCCCATATATGACTTGATAACTCTCTTACAACTTGAGCAATACTATTGAAATCCGAGACTACTAGATTGAATTAAATAATAATTAAAGACACACATACGCTATGAGAACATAATATTTTTAATTATGCCGTTTGCTACTGTCTATGTTGATGAATATAATAAATTATGATTCATCATGGACGTTGTTATTGCAGCCCCTGATTCGACCGATGAAACGTTGACATTTTCTAATACGCATGTTCGCCGTTTATTTGGTACGTACACAAAAATTCTCTGCATATGCGTCTTTATTTATCAGAGAACGAATACTACAGTTTGGTCAGTAAAGGCAACTCAGTCCAGTTCGGTCCTCATCATGCAGTATCAAACAGCACTGTTAAAAATATTGTGTTTGTAATATTGTATTACGGTTTATATCAACCATGTAATTATTTTTATACAGTTTTGCGATTTAATGCAGTTGATTATTATTTACTCATTTTAAATTGGTTGAAGAATTTTGAAACTAATATTTATATGTATAGACATAATTAAAACTTATGTGACAAATATGTTATAAAGTTGTGTATATAAAATTGTTTTGAGTTGTTTTCAAAATAAATTTTATTCATGCAAAACACGTGCAGATACAAAATTGATGTTCTACAAATTAGACAACGGATGATGTTCCGTTCATTGCGAGATCTCGCATAGTACGTGAAAGGTGCGAACCGAACGTCTGCCGCAAAAATTGAATGACTTGATTGTGAACTGGAATTTCATTTGTTTATAACTAAATATGAAAATGTCAATCTCTCAGTTGGAAATATGACGTTGAGATGCCATTACTTCATCAAAACTGACCATCATCAAATGCCTGTAGCATACTAGTATTGTGCGTGGACATACTTTCGCGTTTGCCGAATCCTTACGCAATGTTTTGACGCCAATATGGCGCATCGACTTTCAATTTTGTTTGTCCTGATTTTTCATTCGATTTCACGCATAACGCGGAATCTTGTAGTGAAAGGAAAAATGGTATATTTTCACTCGGGAAGGTGATCGACACCGTGACTAATTAATTGAGTTTCTTCAAATCGAACTGTTCAAATATTGGCAGTATACATTAATCCGTCAGTGCAAATACAGTTTTCTAAAGTAACTGAACAATTGCATCTCATTCTTGAAAAATCGAATTTGTCACCCCTTTCGGCTTATTGTTACATACTATCCTAATAAAGAACATAATGTAATAACAGTCAAGATTGTAATTGAATCTACTACACAAAGATAACCTACAACGTAATGCGAGTCAACGTTATCTCAACAATGGTATCTTAATGACCGATAATGTAACAAGAACGACGTGTGCATGCCCGAAAACAAAATTAAACAATTCCGAAGATTTCACGTAATTCTGAACTAACCATGATAGAGTAACAGTGTGTATTAGGCAGCTGCTGCATCGAGTATGTCTATGGCTCATAAACCAAAAAGTAAACTCGCTTAACGTGTCATTCTGATCTCACGCCGCCAACGCTCACATAATTCATGCATGAGCCGGCAAGGGCCATCGTTGTCAGATGATGCGTGGTGTTGAAGACTCTGGTAAATGAGCTTCGGTCAATATAATGTGTGTCATAAATATAAATACGAGGGGCGTTCAATATGTAATGCCCCTGACCCATTTTCCATAGCAGGAGATTAATGAAACTTGGTACAGTTATTAGTCTTTCTCTACAAAGGAACCACCCAGAGTTATGCATTTCTCCCATCGTTTGATGCAGCACTGAACACCGTTTTTGTAGAACACCCCAGGTTGGTCCTCCAACCACGTTGTAACTTCAGAAATCAAGGCTGCATCATCTGGGAAACGCTTTCAAAAACAACTTCATGGCTGGGAGATGAAAGTCAGAGGGTGCAAGGTCAGGGGAGTAAGGGGGATGGGGGGAGGATTTCATAGCCACACGCCCGTGCTTCTGATCTGGCGACATGCGAGTTGTGGACCGGAGCGTTGTCCTACAGGAGGAGGATACCTTTGCCGATCTTTCCCCGCCTCTTGATTTAGATAGCTTCTTGTAATTTCATCAAAAGTGAAGCGTAATAGGCTCCTGTAATTGTGGTACCCTTTGCCAGGAAATCTGTCATCACTACTCCGTCCTGGTCCCAGAAGACTGTGAGCATGACCTTGCCAGCGGAGGGCTGCACCCTTGCCTTCTTTGGAGGTCGTGAATCGCAGTGCTTCCACTGCATTGACTTGGCTTTGGTCTCTGGATCATAGTGATGGACCCAAGTTTCATCCTGTGTTACAGTAATCAGTCTTTTGAAAAACTTTTACTCATCTTCTTGGCACATCTCCAAATTCATCCTGGAGCACTCAACGCGTTCTTGTTTCTGGAAAGGTGTGAGCAACCTGGGAATCTATCTGGCAGACACTTTATGCATTATGCAAATGGCCATGAATGTTAGTTTCCACAGACCCTGTACTAATCTTGACCTCTATTTGGCGAACAGTAATGCGTCGATCATCCAAAATGGCTGCCTCAACTTAACGGACAGATGCCCCATCAATGGCAGAAGAAGGACGACCAGGTCTGGAAGCTGTTTCCACAGACTTTTGGCCATGTTTGAATTCACGATGCCAGCGTTTTACAAGGTCATATGGTGGGGCATCATCCCCATAAGTTTCTTTCATTTCATCTAAAGTCTCCTTTAGGATCACTGCGCGCCACTCAACTGGCTCCATTTCACACCTGACTCAGTCAAACACTTGTAAATCAGACACCACAATTAGTTCAGAGCTGTTTTTGCAACATAACCCATGGAAATGTAAATCATTACACATGCAAAATTTCATCTAGATCAGACAACTGGAAGTGGGTCAGGGGCATTACTTGTTGAACGCCCCTCGAATCGTCATTAATTTGAATTAATTTGAAAAATTGATTGTCGATCTTTAGGTATTTCTACATTAATAAATGTTATTGCAACTTGGTAAATGGATTAGGGTATGATTACAAAATAATGTGTTGGCTCACTGTAGTGATTTGTTTGATTAAATAATAATTACCAGGCGCAAGATGCTTTTGTAAATTTAATTAATAGTGTAGCGCGTATCACGTACTGTGTCATATGTAGTGTGTCGATCAACGCTCACTAAACAAGTATTTACGCTAAGAAACACGACAAGTGTCCACCACGCAGAGTAGCATGAAACCCAACAATACGCACGACATTCAACGCATTGCGCTCTGTCCAATGCGTGCGAATGGTATACTAGCTTTAGAGTTTTCCAGTACTTGTAATAATTGAAGACCTCAATTATTGTGTTTTGAAAACGTCTGAATTTAAAATGAAACTCTAAATCCTATTGTTCATACCCGTCCTCTTTGACAGCTTTTGCCAGATTTTGTTCAGTTATGATAGCGCCCTCATAGATAGGTTTCTCAACGATATTGCATTTGTTTTTCCTTCGGTCTCCCACAACTCCGCCAAGCAATGGTTGAACCACAGTCCCTCTAGAGGCGCCTCCAATCAGATCTCCGCGACTTCTCAGTAGAATCCCGCACACGAGTTCGTGGAGGAGTATGTTTACATCGAGCGCAATAAAACCGTGCGATTAGGAAGATAATTATTCCAGTGTTGCTAGTGTTGATATGAAGGTCTAAATCTAAATTGAATCTGATAATATGCAATAACAAATAATCGTCGAATTTGAAATTATTCGCAAATTGTGCGATATTTTTTTCTACTGAATTGGTTATAGGGGCTGTTGGAAACGCGTGTTTCACATACACACGTATCATGTGGCCACTTCGGAATGTCATTTAGTATGAGACAGCGTGGAGATGATAAAAAATTATGATATGTTATAGTAGTATTTTAGACTACTAGCTGCTAGGACATCTTATATGCAATGCACATACATAGGATATTCTACACGTCACGTGAGACTATCAGATTTAATGAATGAGTGTTACTTTGTCAGCTTGCGTATTCAACAACGAGCTACGTATCTGAGCATTATCGAATGTATTTTTACCTACAATATTGCTTCTTTCGATGATTGAATCATTGTTTGAATACATTTACATTTTTAACTTATTTTCTTTAAACTTTCTTTAAATCAATGGATATTATGTAAACAGTGCAAGACAAGTTCTAAGAATATGCACAATACTGGAATTGTTAGATTCGGAAGAAAACTGGTGCAAGGAATGAGAATTATAGAATATGACACGGATATTATTTAAGTGAAATAGTTTCCACGTGGTATTTATTGATATTATTAATATATTACCAGTATCTGAAAAAAAAACTTATTGCACTCTGAAGGCTTGTCACAGTTTCACAATTGTATGTAAGATAATGTGAATAACATCTCAGTCTGATAAATCATGACGACTTTATAATTTACATTTAAAATAATTTGACGCAAAAAAAAGAAACGAATTTACGTGTGGGACTGTTGTTTAATTACAATTGAGTCTCGCGGGCGAGGCTGTTCGTCGTGTGGTGGCGTGATCATAGTAACGTAAATGTGTGATCTCGAAGCATTGGAACACATTTAACTCTATTGTCCCGGATGTAGTACGGGCACAGATAAACAACGAAATGATCATGCCTATCCTTTACAAATGAAATACTCCGATTTTGGAGTAACGTGAAATTGATTGGTCTTTGAGACAAACACATATTGCTTGACATTGCGCTTAATGTGTCTATAAAATATCAGTGATTAACATCAATCATAAAATATGTAAGTACCAGAAATAATTTTGGAACTCCAGAATCGATCAAATTTCACTGTCAATGGTATTGATATATTGTACAATTATAATAATTGAGCAAATTGTCAATAACGTTCATTTAATCATGCACAGACGTCGTCGAAAAATTTCAAATTACCCGATGAGGGCGCTAGTTTTGTTCGCGATGATATTAAAATAATGTTTTATAAATATTCTAGTCGAATAATGCTACCCGAGATGTGACGTCATGTGTCTGGATAAGTGGTGACGCTCACGAAATGTTTCCCCACATATGTTACATCTTAGTTTCTCGTCTCGTTTCCGCTTGTGTGGATCAATCTGGTCCTTCTTATGGTGTGTCCGCATATGATACACCAGGTCACTGGTCATACGAAAACTCGCATTGCACTTAACGCACCAGTTCTGAGCGAAATTCACCACTGACGATGACAATGGCAGGATGACCTGCGTTTGTGGTGACAGTTTCGGGGCTGTGAACGGGGTTTGTTCAGTGCCTTCAAACACTGGCGGGTATCCAGGGAAGGATGCAGTCGCCCCTATGTCTGCTTGTGATGGAGGTACAGGTACTCCAGAGAAACGCGTTGGTTCCACGCCACTTGGCATAAACAGATCAGTCGCCATTTTTGAGTTTGTAAAAGATCTCCTCGCGTTGTCTTGGTAGTACTGGTTGGCGGGCTTTTTTTGCAAATACTCTATCATTCTTATTCGTTCGTTTAAATAGTCTGAGCCAGGAGTTGGAGGGGAGAACGCACTTTTGGTCGTAGAAGGTAGTGAATTTTGATAAATACCAAGCCTCAGAGACTCCGTTGGTGGCGATGCATCGTACAGTGGTGGCGATAGAGCACCGCGAAAACCGACGTGCGATGGCGATGATGGTGTTGACGGCGGTGAGTGAAGACGCTCAGTGTTCGAATTCTTATCGGCAGCTTCGCGATGAAACGCTCTATGTGTAACTTCCGGTTTCTGCAACAAGACATCGCCAAACGGTGTACTGTATTTTAACCCAGTTGCATTCCTCCCATTTTCCTCACTGGTACTGCCATGGGCAAGATTATTCGATCGTACATCAACGTTGCGAGAAACTTCCCGAAATGCGCTGCCAGTACGTTGATTTGTGTCCTTAGATTGTCCAGGCTCGTCCGAGTCATCGTCAAGACTCAAAAGCCGACTCATGGACTTGAAGTCATTTCGGACAATTTTTTTCGCTGTTGGTTTCTTTCCAACGTCTACTGTTAACGTGTCTTTCGTAGAGAAAATATTGCTTTCTGTTATTTTTTCTGAAGTCATATTATCTCCATCTTCACGCGCAGAGGGCGGCGAAGGCCTACCCACGGAAATGGTTTTCAAAGAACGTTGACGAATATTGTCTTCCTGTACACGGTTACGGTCAGAATAAAATGAGTTACTTTCCAATACTCTGTTGTTCTCCCTATAGTCATAACGCACCGTGTTCCTGATTTCGTCGAAGGCGCTTTTTGATCTGTACAGGCTCAGCAAGGGTGGTACGGGCTTCATTGACGCGTTGATTCGCCTCTTGATTTTCGCTTCCTCAAATTCCAGGTCACTACCCAAGAGGCTGAACTTTCGTTTATTAAACAGCGGTGCGCTCTGCGAATAAAATGAACAGAGTGTTGGCATGTCTGCCGTAGAAGTCTTGATGCTTTGCTGACCTGTTCTAATTTGTAAATCTCTCCTCCACATGTCATGCTCTCGTTCACGCATAATATCAGCTCCAAGCCTGTCCAACCGACTTTTATCATGTTTCACGCCGTGCATTGCCAACATAGTTACACGCTGAAGACACCAGTGTAGTCTTTGTTGTTATCCTTCTATCGCGCTGGCCATATACTGTCCGGGGCTTTTGTTACAGCCGATATAATTATAGAATGTGCTATACAGGACAATATCGTTGTCGTCGAGCTCTCAACCACGTAGTGTACGCCGGGGCGTCAGTTACTATCTGTATAAAGAAGAATATACAAACTTAATTAGAAGACATGTATTATACGTGTATCAGTGATTTTTAAGAAGGATGGTGTATACTGAAAATGATTTCTGGAGGCAATCTTTATATGTGTTTCTTACAACATTATAGTTTTTATCTGAGATCGGAAATTTGAGACAATGCCCTTAGGCTGCATTGATATAGGCCATCTGTCACATGATAACCACTTGCATACGAAGTAAACTGTAAACATTCAGTCTATATTCGTGAAACATGTTAAACGAAGCAAAAATATATCGATGCATGATAACGGTGAGCAATTATGTCTGTACACATTAAACAAAATAATGCAAACTATTCGCGGAAATGCTTTTTTGATTTTGTGGTTATTTATTTATTTATTTATTTATTTATTTATTTATTTATTTATTTATTTATTTATTTATTTATTTATTTATTTATTTATTTATTTATTTGTTTGTTTGTTTGTTTTTTGTTTGTTTGTTTGTTTGTTTGTTTGTTTATTTATTTATTTATTTATTTATTCACTCACACACACACTCACTCACTCACGCATGCACTCACTCACTCACTCACTCACTCACTCACTCACTCACTCACTCACTCACACACTCACTCACTCACTCTCTCACTCACTCAATCAATCAATCAATCAATCAATCACTCACACACTCACTCACTCACTCACTCACTCACTCACTCACTCACTCACTCACTCACTCACTCACTCACTCACTTATTCGTTTACTTGTTTACGATTCGGAATTACGAGTTGATGGCCCTGATTGAATATTTACATAATGTTTTCGTCACAATAGTTAAAATACCATTCATTAAAATGCCTCCTAGACCACGTACATTTGAAATGGAATTGAAATGCGACTACCATATTGCAATGGTTGAGATTTTCGACGGTTAATCGAACGTAAATATGACATACAAGTCGGTCAAACTACTCACCTGTCGGATCTGTCGTAGTGTTATACTAAGCGCGATGTGCCACCCCTAGATCACCATGCATAACGTTTTACACTGAACACCTCTCTATATAAACTGAAACATCGCCGTGGATACGAGCAGACATGCGCAGTTCCTGCAATGATTAAACAAAATGTCATTGGTTACTTGCCTTCACCGAAAGACAACCTAGTATTTGTTCGACAACTGACATAATGTTCTATTCCGTAACATTCGCAGTCAGTGATGTGTCGAACGACCTACTTTTCGAAACCCACGCCACACAATAGAACTAACTGCACATGAATAACTTCAACGCACACCAAAGCATCAACTGTAGGACATTGGGCAGCGCCTAGATGACTTAAACAGACTTTGTCATAACGTCGCCTCTGTCGACACACACACGTGCCACTTACGTCCGCGTGGTGAATTAACTGTAGTCGGCAAAGCGATTTTTATGCCAGGAGTTTTCAGAAGAAGAAAAAAAACACAAACACGTCTGCTCAGATGGAAAGGAGCAGATGGAAGGGCCACTCAGAAGACGACACACAGACTATACAGACAGACTGTACATTTCGGAACCAATGCATTAATCCTTGGGGAGCATTCGAAATACATTAACAAGTAATTAAAGCAATAAAATGGACTTTAAATGTAGCCATGTGTATAATGCATGAATCTATGGGGAGACACTGAGACTGTCCAGTGTAACTAAATAAACTACACTCTTCTATTATCGTTGTTTCTACCCCGATCGAGTAATGATCTAAAGATCGTTTCCTATCATTGTGTATATACTACAATTTTGTTATCGAGCGAAGCAAATTAACAGGCCAATTTTTCAACTACGCTGCATTATATCACGACATTTGCTTGGGGTAATTACCAACGATATAGCAAGCTCCATTAGCTGTACTCGGTCCGCGCGTATTTCCGTACCGTCGCACGATAATCCATTTCCAAAATGGCCGTTTAATGCAGGGTGACTGTTACCAGTTATTGCTAATTGGTCGGAAATGTCTTATTTAAGTGATTTAAATGTACAGTAATTCTCATAAGACACAGGAAGTTGCCACAATTTATATACTTAATAGGTATATATTTAATATAAAACACGATATGTACAATATGATATCTGTCGTGTCTCGACTGCCGTTTTTCGTGCGATCGTCATGGCAGTTTCTCGCCTAAACTGTTTGCCTAATATTTTTCATTGTGCGTTTTCATTACGTTATATTTTGTGGGTTGCCTTGAGAGTGTTTTGTTTTGTTTTGTTTTTTGCTAGATATAATTTGGGAATGTTTGGAGGCTTTCGTACCAATACGGTGGAGCGAGCTGCCAGTGGGTTGGCAGATGTAAATCTGGACCAGGTATATTGTACGTCCGTATCTAACTTAAAATGCTTAAAATTGCTAATTACCCTAAAAACATTATCAATATTTGAGGATTTCAGGGAACATTTGAAGAAAAAAAAGGTGATAAAAAACAGGTTTTGAGCTGAGGTAAAATGGCGCCGTTTTATTGCCAAGTGTTTCACGACTTCTGCCTATAACAATGAGCTGTCTCGGGGTTTCTTTTCTCGAGGTGTTTGTTTATCACTTTTATTTGTCTTCGCATCAAACATTCATGATTTTTGGTCATATATTATACAACATCGTGCGATAAACCGTGTTTCATTACCTTAGTTATTTCGCGCCACGTCGACACTAATAATCCATAAACTTATACTTGTGATGTCATGTCTCCACTTGCATTAATAAGTAATTATTTCATTGTAATTTTGGAGCCTGTGATAATGTTTCCTAGATGTGTGGCCGCTAATGCGTCCCACGTATACGTTCGGTGGCACCGCTCTGTTTATTTTTTCATGCAACATTTAGAAATAGCATTAAACAAGTAAAAACAATCGCAAATTTTAATATAATTTCACAATGTTTTTTTCTACGTAGATTTGGCGATATTGAAATCCATGATGTACACTATGCGTGCTTTATTACTGTAGACTGGACGGCGTGTGTTCACTGCTAGTCAGCACGTGGTTGACGCTTAACACATATTCACTGTTGATTCGAAGAATATTGTCGTGTTTAATAATGAATACTGGAACGCGGCTTTCCGTCTAATATTGGCAGTAAAAATCCATAATCACGTGTTGATAAGCTTAGCGCCCTCAAGGGATGGGAAATATGATATATCTTAGTGAAAATACGAAATGGCACATCACGTCCAACTTTGCTGATCATTTTTCTGATGCTATCGGCAAAGATAAAACGGGGGAAAGGCAACTCGTGATACATACGGAAGATGTTGTATATTACTTTAGTATAGTAAGCACGTGACTTGAATGATGAGGTGATACTGATTGCAACATTGAATAACGTTGGCTGAGTTTCAAAGGATTCACATATTTATATGTCGGCGAATATAAGATCACAGATCATAGCTATTTTCCATTCGTATGCGATATATGAATGTGAATTTTAAATACATATTTGAATAAATGAATTTTTGTATATAACTATTTACTATACAAATGTACTTTTAATTGTTAGTACGTATTAGTAATTATAAGCGCATGCGCATTTGCGTAGACTTATTGCGAATATTGTGCAAAAGGACTAACATTACAGAAATGTACCTACATTACCTATATGGTGCGTGAATGTTTGCACACTTAAAGAAATTATCGCGACTAGCAGCTAGTAAGGATTTCAAGTTGTTTCCAACCACTCAGGAGGGATATTATTCGCAAATTTATCATACATTTGTCGAGTAAATGGCTGATATTGAATTATGGTATACTTTATTGTGTAAATAACTCGAAATAAAAACTGGCAACTGCCTTCTGAAAACGATGTTTAATTGCTTTCTTTATATTAAATTCACCTTGAAGGATCGTGAAGCAGCCTGCAGAAATGATTGACGGCGATTCGACGAATTCGAGATTATTCGCGCACCTGCACGCAACTTTAGTTTGAGTGCGTAGGTACATCTCAGAATGTTTGATGCCGTTGAGCTATCACAATAGATATGTGAGAAAATATTGTCAAAGCTATTTTATAAAAGTCATTTCTGCGGTCGGTGATTCGTATCATAGTAATACATTACACTTTTGTCGTGTGGTGAACTTTTAATGTGTGCAAAGAAACCATGGACTTATTTTGTGATGTCACAGTGTAAAATGATGTCAAGGTGATTACACTGAATGTCGTGTGACCAAAAATTACAGTAACATATAGGACATATTTCCGTATCTCCGTAATTGTCATCTACAGGGAAAATACTTAATACTGTTATTTTAGTGAGAAAAACATGTTTTCTGTATAAAAAAAAAACCGGTGACATTTGAGATATTAATGTCACGCACATTAAAGACTCGATGTATATTTAATGGCCGGGGATTACTGCAGAACGAAATATTTATGCGTATTTATAAAATCGGAACCACCAGCCCGGGTTTCATATTTAATCCGAGGCACGGAGTAGATGTATTTCGATACGTGACATTTAGTATATTTGTACGTTTAAGTAACAGATGCGCGTTTTAAACTCTTCTGATGAATAAATTATTTTACTTGTAAAAAGGTAGTAATTTAACTCGCATTTGATGTATACATGACACGAGACACTTGATATCTTGGAAATTTTAGTCCTTCCAATTAACGGGGCGGCTTAAACGGAAAGGGTATAAATGACTAACTGATCTTCTTCATCATACGAGACATCGTGATTCTGTGGTTTGTGGAGTTGCGATGATTATTTTTGACGAGCTGATCTCTGAGAACTTAATAGCTAAGGCTGGTTGGAGTGTATTCTCAGGTAGTTTTTTTTTTATCTCAAAATTACACTAAACGTCTCTTGAGCGACTTACATGATCGCTTTTATTTTTCCCATGTTCAATTTTCATATCCCGGTCTGCAAATACAGTTATATATTGCTCACATTCACAGACACCTGATTCGTGTGATGTATTTTGTTGTTTCAACAAACATTATACTAGTACTACAAATGAAGTAGTGTTGTTATTTTTTATT